CTGCACATGGAGGTGCCTGCCACGAAATCTGCACATGGAGGTTCATATAGCGCTGTGCCTGCCACGACATCTGCGCCTCGAGGTTCACACAGTGCTGCGACTGCCACGAAATCTGCACACGAAGGTTCACAAAGCGCTGCGCCTGCTACGAAATCTGCACATGAAGGTTCACAAAGTGCTGCGCCTGCCACGAATTCTGCACATGGAGGTTCACAAAGCGCTGCGCCTGCCACGTAATCTGCGCATGGAGGTTCACAAAGTGCTGTGCCTGCCACGACATCTGCACGTCAAGAAACAAGCGAAAACTCTAATCACAATGGAGGGACGATTCCGAGCATGATCCGACCATGACCCGAGACCGCCTCGCAACCGTCGTTCCGCGGAGCTTCCCCGTCGAGGTTCGGAGCCGCATGGAGGTTCACAAAGTGCTGTGCCTGCCACGAACTCTGCACATGGAGGTTCACAAAGTACTGCGCCTGCCTGCCACGCAATCTGCACATGGAGGTTCGCAAAGTTCTGCGCCTGCCACAAAATCTGCACATGGAGGTTCACACAGTGCTGCGCCTGCCCCGAAATCTGCACATGGTGGTTCACAACGCGCTGCACCTGCCACGAAATCTGCAAAGCGCTGCGCCTGCCACGTAAACTGGACCTAGAGCTATTGAAACTAGAGCTGACTGGAGCTAGAGCTCTTGAAACTAAAGCTACCTGGAGCTAGAGCTATTGAAACTAGAGCTACCTGGAGCTAGAGCTCTTGCAACTAGAGCTAACTGGAGCTAGAGCTCTTGAAACTACAGAAAACTGGATGATGAGTGGTGTATGATGAGTGGTGTATGATCAGTGGTGTATGATGAGTGGGGTATAATGAGTGGTGTATGATGAGTGGTGTGTTGATGAGTGGTGTATGACGAGTGGTGTATGATGAGTGGTGTATGATTAGTGGTGTATGATAAGGGGTGTATGATCAGTGGTGTATTGATGAGTGTTGCGTTGATGAGTGGTGTATGATGAGTGGTGTATGATGAGTGGTGTATGGTTAGTGGTGTATGATAAGGGGTGTATGGTCAGTGGTGTATGATGAGTGGTGTATTGATGAGTGGTGTATGATGAGTGGTGTATGATGAGTGGTGTATGATGAGTGGTGTATTGATGAGTGGTGTATTGATGAGTGGTGTATGATGAGTGGTGTGATGTATGATGAGTGGTGTATGATGAGTGGTGTATTCATGAGTGGTGTATGAACAGTTCTTGAATGTCCGTAACACGGAAGTTTCGTACACTAAACTTCCTTTGATTAGACTATTGTACAAATCTGTACAACGTGCGTTTTTGTATGTATATATATATATATATGCAACCTATACGCACAAACTACAAACGCAAATTCCTCCTCGCCCTCACACGTAAATCGTCACTTGGGAATAAATGCTTTGTATGCTGAAATGGGTGTGATACGATTCTTGATCAAATGCCGAGGATGAGCTGCACATGGTCTGTTTGACCCGAATTGAAAACCAGAACGTGTGTTCGGAAGACGAGTTTTGTTGGCACCTACCAACATGAACGCATATATCTATGTTTACAAGGACAAGCGCGCGCAGAGATAGACAGAGCAAAGTGGCTTTTTCCGAGGTGTGAATGGGTTCATATGAATATGCTTTGTTCTGCACACACCAACCTCATGGAGCAAAAACAATACAGTACATCTTGCTGGACGCATTGCATTTTGCAGCCTGCTGAGCGTCATCCTGGTGCTTCGTGTAATGGCTAACTCCACCTGTGACCAGAAGACTGCGAATAAGAATGGTCAGCCGAGGTGTCAAAACCAAACAACCAGAGCTGAAAAGTGTGAAGTTTGATCAAATTGTTCTCAAGCCTTTTCATTCCAAATTCAACAAGTCAATGTCAAGGCTTCCACCAAAAGGACGCTCTGGGATTGGTCGCATGTGAACTAGCTCCGCAGCAGGGATATACTTCTTGCCACCTCCAATAACAAGCTGGAAAAGCAGCGCCGCTTCAATCAGTGACAGCATCTCGGGAAATGGGCTCGGATTAAATTTAGGATCTATTTTTGGGGGGGTGTTATTTTTTGGTTTTCGTGTTTCGTGGCAGGTGCAGTACTTTGTGGAGCTTGAAATGCACATTTCGTGGCAGGTGCATTACTTTGTGGACCTTGAAATGCACACTTCGCGGCGCAGGACTTTGTGGATGTTGAAGTGCGGATTTCGTGGCAGGTGCAGGACTTTGTGGATGTTGAAGTGCAGATTTGGTGGCAGGTGCAGGACTTTGTGGGACTTGGAGTGCAGATTTCGTGGCAGGCGCAGGACTTTGTAGACCTTGAAGTGCAGATTTCGTGGCAGGTGCAGTGCTTTTGCGGGCCTTGAAGTGCAGATTTCGATTTCGTGGGAGGTGCAGGACTTTGTGGATGTTGAAGTGCAGATGGACAGATAGAAAGATAGACAGATAAATGGATAGATAGATAGATAGATAGGAAAGATAGAAAGATAGAAAGAAAGATAGATCGAGAGATAGAGAGATAGATCGATAGACAGACAGATAGATAAATAGACATAGACAGATAGATATAGACAAACAAATGGATAGGTAGACCGATTTGCATTGGAATAGTGTAGGTGTCAGATAAATTTCTGCCTGTCACAACAGTTTGGTGCAGTTAGCCGAATAGCAAAGAGAAAGATTTCGTGGCAGGCGCGGGTGGTGGAGATGAAGTGCAGCTTTCGTGGCGCGGGGGGGTTCCGGGGCGGCGCAGCGCCCCCCCCAGCAGCACACCAGATCCAAAGGTGAGCAGCTCGCGCTTGCTTGCTTGCTGGCTTGCTGGCTTGCTTCCTTGTTTGGTTTCTTCTCCGCAAAGCGAATAAAAGGAAAAGCAAAAGCAAAAAGAGAAAGGAGAACAGCTGCGAAAGAGGAAGAAAGAAAGAAAGAAAGAAAGATAGATAGATAGATAGATCGAGAGATAGATAGATAGATCGATAGACAGACAGACAGATAGATAGATATAGACAGATAGATATAGACAAATAGATGGATAGGTAGACAGATATATCGACAAAAGCCATAGAAGCCGCGAAAGTCACCAAAGCCAAAAGCCACAAAGCCACAAAAGCCACAGAAGCCACAGAAGCCACGAAAGCCAAAAGCCACAGAAGCCACAGAGGCCACGAAAGCCAAAAGCCAAAGAAGCCACAGAAGCCACAAAAGCCAAAAGCCACAGAAGCCAGAAGCCACGAAAAACAAAACAAGATGGAGCCCACGAACCCGAATGCAAACACGTTCAAAAAGCTACATATGTCCAAATGACACTCTTGTAGGACACTCTTGTGGGACACTCTTGTGGGTCACTCTTGTAGGAAACTCTTGTGGGACACTCTTACGGGACACTCTTGTGGGACACTCTTAAGGGACACTCTTGTGAGACACTCTTGCGGGACACTGTTGCGGGACACTCTTGTGGGACACTTTTGTGGGACACTCTTGTGGGACACTCTTGTGGGACACTCTTGTAGGGCACTCTTGTGGGACACTCTTGTGGGACACTCTTGTAGGAAACTCTTGTGGGACACTCTTGTAGCACTCTTGTGGGACACTCTTGTGGGACACTCTTGTAGGAAACTCTTGTGGGACACTCTTGTGGGACACTCCTGTAGGACACTCTTGTGGGATACTCTTGTGGGACACTCTTGTGGGACACACTCTTGTGGGACACTGTTGCGGGACACTGTTGCGGGACACTCTTGTAGGACACTCTTGTGGGACACTCTTAAGGGACAGTCTTGCGGGACACTCCTGTGGGACACTCTTGTGGGACACTCTTAAGGGACACTCTTGTGAGACACTCTTGCGGGACACTGTTGCGGGACACTCTTGTGGGACACTCCTGTGGGACACTCATTTGGGACACTCTTGCGGGACACTCTTGTGGGACACTCTTGTAGGACACTCTTGTGGGACACTC